CGGCCGTGGGACTCAACGCACCGTTCGCCTCTTGCAGCGATCCCGACAACGTAGCCTTCTGCGTGCTGGCCGCGGACGAGGAGGATGAGGGGGACATTGCCCTGCAGATCCACTTCACCCTGATCCAAGCCTTTTGCTGCGAGAATGACATTGACATCGTGCGGGTGAACGACTTGTCCAAGCTCGCTGCCATCGTGGGGCCCAGCGAGGACTCTGGGGAGCCGCGGGACTTCCACTGCATCCTCATCATGGTGAGTGTCCGCGGGAGCCGAGCGAGGTGCTTGTCCCCCAGCGCTGTGGTTGCGCTGCGGGGCTCTGTGTGGGGTGGTTGGAGCTGCCCCATATCCTGCTGGTAGTGGGAACCTCCTCTGGGCAAGGAAAGGAAGGGGGCTTGGCGTACCATACGGAAAGTCAGCTGAGTAGTAGGAGGAGGCTACTCTTCTCGTAACTGTGGCTTTCCTCAGTTGTCCACGAGAGTAACATCACTGCTTCCTGCTTTGTCTGTGTCAGGACAGACAACCTGAAAGTGCCTTGCTTACTAAGCTAGTGCTTCTGTAAATATTGTCGTGACCTCAGCTGGCAGGCGGCACTCATGGTGTGCAACTTCTTTCTCTCTGACAGAACCCGAGTGAGGACGGCTGGAAGGACCCAGCTCTAGAAAAGCTGAACTCGTTTTGTGAAGCGAGCCGAAATGTCAATGACTGGGTGCCGACTGTCCCCCTGCCTGAGTGATGGGGACCCAGTGCACTGGGGAGGCTGAAACCTTTGTTGCATTCTCTATGTGGTATGGGTTCACCATTGTGCAACAAGCTGCTGATTCCATGGATTAGCCTGGTCAAGAGACTGGATTAAAGTCACTCAGACTGGCATGCAGTGGGCTCTTACGGAGGAGAGAGAGAACAGCTCACCTCACCAGTGAGCCTCAGTAGGCTGCAACCGTGGAGAGGCTGAAATACCATGGAACTGAAAGAAGTATTGCAAGTTTCCTGGTCAAGTGGAGCTGTTTCGGAAGGCAGAGAGAAAGTTGAGGGAAGTGGGCCAAAACTTTCCAGAAGGACTGGACAGAGTATTGTAACTAGGAACTGTTCATGCTGTCTGCAAAACACAGAAGGAAGTTTCAGTTTTGATGGACTACCTGGTTCCTAAATTAGATTCCAAAGTAGACTTTAACAGGCCTCTTGGGTCACTCTGCAGAATTAGTTTAATAATGCAATAATTTCTATTGAACTATTTGCTGCTATTGAAGCTTTCATAATAAATTTTTTGACAATTAATTTCTGGGAGCGTCTTGGTTACTGGGTGGGGAACCATGTCACTAAAATGCCACTGATGTTTTGCTTGTGTGCTGTAGGCAAAGGTATACCTCATGCTAATGGAGCTGTTGCTCAAATACTTTCTTGGGCTGGTGAATGGAAAGCTGTGCTGCCCAAGTTGATAATTCAACCTTTCACCCTCTTGCAACAGCTGCTTATCGCAACAGCTTGCAAGACTAAGGGGCTGCATGCTTAATGAGCTCACTTATTGTAATAGGTGGTCTTTGTAGTCTAGTGAGAGAACACAATACATGGTAGAAACACGGATTTTTTTTTTTTGGAATACAGACCTCCACTAAATAGCATCATTAGTTCTTAAATATGACTTAGTAAGACTCATTCAGAGCTGCAGTACTCCCACTTGACAGAAGCAGTTTAAACATGATGGGGGGGGGGGGGGGGGGAGGTGTCTGCAAAACTCCTTAGATGTCAAATACATCTAACACTTGCTTTGATTAAAATGACATCGTTAAATCTAAAACTAGCTAATAGTGAATAAACATCACATCTGCCACAAGCTGCTCTCTGATTGCCATATGCTGTAACAATAGAAGCTGTCACTCCAGAAGCCAATTCTGCAAAACCTAATTGCATGACAACACCAGATTCAGTCCAGAACAACTTAAGGATGGTGTGGCCTCTTCCAGAGATCCCATCATGGGAAGTTAATATGAGCGAGCTTTTTTGGCCCTGTGTTAAGAGAGAAAAAAATATCACCCCCTCACCCTGCCTTTTGTGCACAATCTATACGCGTGCTTCAGGACTTGTCATTAAAATGGCATAGTAGTGATTCCTTCTTCAGAGAGCAAGAAAGATAGACTACTCACTTCCTCTATAGACACTAAAAATACTTAGTTATCACAATTACATTTCCTCTAGGCTGGCTTGCAGTGATTGACAGGAGCACTTGCTGAAAAGTGGTCATTTCTACAGTTGCAGATTCTGGGAAGCTGCTTGCTCTCGCTTTCATTGTTCCTGATAAGGGAAGTTCAAATTCAGCTCCAGCATTCCTGGAACATGCTCCCTTCTACAGGAGGTATCTAACAGTGCTTGGCCTCCTATTGCAAGAGGCTGTAGGATGGCAACATGACCAGAGTTTAGACTGAAACAAAAACTGTAAGGGGGCTCAGACTTCTGCAAGCATTCCCTCTTTGCACTTCAGACACAGGAGTTTCTGCGCAGCCTGTTTTTCTACTTAACCCGAACTCATCAACTGGTGTCTGATCTAGGACCTTGGGAAAAATCACACAGAGGAGCTAAGAGAATAAACAGATTTCACAGCTGTGATAACAGAAACTGCCTTCGAGGCAATTGCCTCGATATGTAGAAAATATCAGGTCTGGATGCTTTATTGTACATTTTTATAGTTTTCCTTTAGCAAATGCAGGTCTCTTCATTTTCAATGCTTTTACAGCTGAGAAAAAGATTTCTGTTCTTTGCTTGGGGCCTAATCAGCACTCAGAGCCAAGAACAGATTAGAGTGAACTGTCCTGAAATCAACTTTCGTGTAAACTGTAAGCAGTACTTTACAGCCTCAAGTCGTTTAAATAAAAGCCCAAGAAGATGAAAGTTCTCTAGCACATATACAATTATGTTTACAATTATGTATACAATTAAAGTATAGCAGAGAAGTGCAACTGATTTGTTGTCTGAGACAGTACACATAGATTGTTGTTCCTACCTGATAGGAAGTTTAACTTTCCTGCTTTTATGGAAGAAACACAGCAAACAGTGAAATTAATGAGGCAGCACCAAAATCCCCTGGTGAGGATATTGTTTCTAGTCCCTCAGCGGATGGGAGGCTGACCTTCACCTCCCCGGTAGTCTTGTGAAGCTGTAAGCTGTGCCTCATGAGAGGTGCACAATTTCTTATTTTAGTGACCCATACAGTTCTCCTGAAATCCCTCCTGGCTCAACACAGATCCACTGTAACATGAATAGTATTAAACTTGAGTTAGCCTGCAAATGTTATTAATATGGCGTTGCAGCCAAAAGCAGCTGTAACTTGCAAGTTACGTGCTGCTGCAAATATCTATAATGATCAACACTACTTAATGCAGCAAAAATCTAGCAGCTGGTATCTCCTGATACAAGTAGTCTTCATCTTAATGTGTTCAGATACCTAACTGTGGAAGGAGCTGTACAGTTGTTAAAGATAGGCAGTGGGCCTGGGTGTTCCTGGCTGCGGTGGGAACAGCTGTCTGGGAGATGCTGTTCAGCTCACCAGGTATCCAGGGTGTTTTGCCAGGTATCTGAGGGGTCTGGAGGGCAGGGACTGCAACCTTTGTGTCTGTGGGCATGCGTCCCTAGACCTCCCTTCCCAGGAGGCACAAGTGCCCAGGCCAGTGGCAGGGCTGGCACGGGCTGCTGGAAGCTCTGCTGCTGTGCTTGTATTCCAGCTGTGCAGCATGGCCTTCACAGGCTGGCATGCTGTGTGCCATGGTGTGCCACCTCTGGGAGCTCTGGGGAGGAGGCTAAAGCTGACAGTAGCAAAGGTAGTAAAGGTGGCTCCCCAGGACGTAGGCCAACCTAGTGACACAGCCGGAATTGCAGGGCACGGAGTGCAGTCACAGAGTGGTGGTGCTTCTGCAGGTCTCATTTCTGTCAAGCCCTTCACTTCTGCGCCAATAGGTGATCAACACTGTATGTTTAAATACTATAATCATAGACGTTTGTGTTGTGCTGTCTATACTTTCTATACTTCTAAGCACTTATTAATTTTTTTCTTATGAAGCAGTGAATAAAATTTCATTTAAATTTTTTTCAGCAATGGTTTTACATTTCTCTGCCTGAGTATCTATTTCACCACCTAATAGAGCTGACTGACAGGAATTTCCATTCATATGCTGTTTCCTTCTCTCAATGCCATTTTCTTTTTGTTACACTTCTGTGCATCAGTTTACTTTTCTCTCTCTTGTGTTTATAGATGGTGATCTTCTCTTTAGATGAATGACTCTTTCAATGAATTTACTACCTTATCATCTTATCAGGATATACATGCATACTGGCACACAGGATGTAGTTGTTGTAAACAGTGCCGTTGTAAACTCTTGGGTGTTGAGTAGCAAATACAGAACGGAAGATAATAAAAGAATATTACAAAGAGGCAGGCAAACTGCTGCGTGGAATAATGTTTGCATAAAATCTGTGCATGTGCTAGACGATCTGCTCAAATGGCATTTATAGCACTGGATGCTCAGTGAAGGAGAGTTGATGTGCCTTCTTTGCAGCTGTAGACTTCTGCAGAGTGGTGGAGTTTTTGTTGTAGGTGGAGGCTGTTTGAATTAATGTATGTTCTACAGTCTTTGCAAAAATGCTATTGGCAGAAACATGCCATAGCACCATCTGACACATAACAGAGACCTGGCTCATGTCCACTGTTAGCTCCAGCTCTTACATCCCCTATCATCAGGAGGAGAGAGCAGTGTGTGCCCAGGTTAAACCATGGCAAATATACAAACAGCATATTACTAGTGGAAGCAAATGATACCATGTGCGTGAGCAAGGCGGATGTGTGGAGAAGGATGTGTGAATATTGTGTTCCTTGTAGGAACACACATTGTGGCCAGCTGTGCTCATGCTTGTGCATCCACAGGACCTCACTCATTGTAAGCAGCAGAAGCAGAAACCCAGTTTAGCGGAGGGATGGAGCTGTTCAGACAATGCATACCCCTCACCAGAGCCATTATTTCCACAGGTTTTTATGAAAACTGCTTCTCAT